TGGTGTGCTTTTAACCATGAGGTTATGCTTCTATTCTTTTTACTAGTTTAAGGTCCCATCAGGAAATTGGGAGGGGGGGCGGCGGGAAATCACCATTTGATTTGAAAATTCCCTGTGCACTATTCCCATCCCAAGGTCAGCATGAATTCATTTACCGTCTTACTTCCTTATAGCCTTACAACCTAACTTCCTTACAGCCCTAATGTCAAAGCAGCAGAATATAAAGTTCCTAATATTGAGGTGTCTTTGAAGACTAGGATATGACTGACTCCAGCCATGGTATTTTCAATCACCTCATACGCATATGAGAACTGGACAATGAATAAGGAAGACTGAAGAAGAGTCGATGCTTGAGTTGTGGTGTTGGCGAAGAATACTGAAACACTATGGACTGCCAGAAGAATGAACAAACCTGTCCTGGAAGAAGTGCAGCCGGCATGCCCCTTGGAAGTGAGAATGGCCAGCTTTGTCTCACCTACTTTGGTCGTGTTGTCAGAAGGGACATGGAGAAGAGTATTATGCTTGGTAAAGTGGAGGACTTAATGGTGGCCTGTGTTTAAAGTTGAGATGCCAGAGCTTCCCAAACATGATATGGGAGAAGGAATAAAAAGGCTTAAGGGAGATAGACATGTTGGGGCAGATTTATCATGTGCAACCTCAGCAGACTTGTCACTCAGAACCACATCATCTGGCCCAGAAGGTATTCATTTAATGTATTGGGAAGTTTATTAGTGAAGGGAGCATCTACCTCCTTGACATCTCTGATTGCTCTCCTTTGTAGGCCACGAATGACTATGGAAAATGCCACCAATGAGATGGATTCCCTGATTTCAGTGAGAATGATGGGATCTGAGAGAAGCAGAGGCCAAGTGTAGCATTAAACTGGCAAAGAAGAAGTGGGCATGTTTACTGCAAAGAACAGCCAGATGTAAACATAATCAGAAGGCTTTGGTCCATGAAGATCTTTGGTGGTGGCTAACTGATCACAATGTCCACAGGAATTAATAGGATGGACAGCCTAATGGCATTTGATTTAGATAAATAAAAAACTCCATGTCTGGTGGCCACAAACCTGACTTTAGTTTCCACAATGGAGAGTCAAGTAGTCTTACCCAGTCTCTAGACAGAAAGCCCCTTGATTGAAGGAGACAGTCCCCTTGAGTAAAGATACTGCAGTATATAGTACTAGTCTGTGGGCCATTAACTAGTGTGCAATAGGGAAAACAGACTTTCTGGAGATTGCTACACACAGACTGAATTAATACTAAATCCTGAGAACCCAAACCACCACTGTGATATATACAAAGTGGGGGCTTCAAGGTATCTTAGCCTAAATTGGACTCACAGTGGTCTGTTTGGTCTGCAGCCCTACCTTGTGGTATTTTCCCAGATTCTGAATGTATAATTGGAAAAGATATACTGGTCAACTGTCAGAATACCCACATTGCCTCTTTGACCCATGGGATAGGGCCTGTGCTAGAAAGGACTAAGTGGGAGGCCCTGGAGTTTCCTCTCTATACCGATAGTTGTTAGCCCAAAGTAATACTGCATCCCTGTGGTACTGCAGATTAGTGCCATGATCAAAGACTGGAAAATGCAGGGCTGGTGAGACCTGTCACATCCCCACTCACTTATACTTCCTGCTTAGACTGTGAAGTCACATGGTTCTTAGGCAAGGACTGATTATAAAACTAAGTCAGGTAGGAGCCCCACTGGCTCAGTGGTTAAGTGCTTAGCTGCTCACTGAAAGATGGTCAGTTTGAATCCTCCCAGTTGCCCCACAGGAGAGTGACTTGGCAATCTGCTTCCATAAAGATTATAACCAATAAAACCATATGAGGCAGTTCTTCTCTATCACATGGGGTTGCTATGAATTGGAATCAACTCCTCTGGCCCCAGCAACCAATCAGATGGTGACTTCAGTTGAACTTGCTGTTCCAGCTGTAGTTACTTTCTGGGAGCAAATCAACATAGCCCTTGACACCTGATACACTGACCAGGTTAATGCAAGTAATCGAACAATGTGTTGGCAGGCCTGCGCTCCTTCTGAAGGCTCCAGAAAAGACTCTTTGCTTGCCTATCTTCTGGTGGTTGCCAACAATCCTTGCTGTTCCTTGGTTGTGGCAGTGTAATTCTAAACTCTGCCTTTCTTCACATGGCCTTCTTCCCTATCTGCTCTGTCTCAATCTTTCTCTCCTTATAATGGACAACAGTCACTGGATTTAAGGCCCACCCTAATCCAGTATGATCTCATTTTTACTTGATTATATCCACTGCAAAGGCCCTATTTCCAAATAAGGTCATATTCTGAGGTTCCAAGTAAGCATGAAATTTTGGAGGACACAAAAATACAATCCAACAGAGTGATGAAGGGAAATCCTCTCAGTGAGCACAGCTACAAGCAGTGTATTTGCCTGCCACTTTGTCTCGGTGGTGCAAAGAGTTAACTCACCCAGCTGCTAACTAAAAAGTTGAAGGTTGGAGTCTACCCAAGACACCTCAGAAGGCCTGGCAGTCTACTTCCAAAAAAATCGTTAAGAGTTCTACTATGACACACATGGGGTCACCATGAGTCAGAATCAACTTGACAACCATTGATTGTTGTTGCTGTTGCCTGGACTAAGAGATGGCCACCTAAAGTATGTATGTGTCCTGATTCATAAGGAGTTGCTAATGGTTTGGCTGGATGGTCAGGGGTTTGGAAAAGAAAGGATTAGAAAACTGGTGACAAGTATGCCTGGTGAAGAGGTATGTGGGTGGATCTCTCATAATGAGCAGACTAAAGATATGTGTCCCATATAAATGTTTCATGTGGGGAGACTCAATAATCAGGTGAACAAAATGACATGCTCTGTGGAGCCAGTCATTTTCCCCAAGCCATCACAGTGCTCAACGGGACCACCAAGTGGCCATGGTGCCAAGGATGGAGGCTGTACATGTGCTCAACATGGACTTCCCCTTACCATGGTGACTGGGTTAACACTACTTCTTAATACCTACCAGCCAACAGCAGAGACCACCACTAAGCTAATATAGTACCATTCTTGGGGGAATGCCAACGATGGAGGAGGCAGAGATTTGTCCTCACTGAAACAGACATTTATTTTGGGCTTGTCTCTGTACCACTGTCATTCACAGAATGACTTTATCCACCATGACAGTATTTCATTTGGCATTGTTTTTGATCAAGGGGACTAATTTCACAAAAGAGGATGTGCAGTAATAGGTGCATGCCCATGAATTAATGGGCTTCACTACATTTTCCCATCACTCAGAACTGGGATAACTGAAAGGTGGAATGGCTTACTGAAGGACTTCGGGACAGTTCCAGTTGGGACACAACAGCCTGGAATTGTCTTTGAGGATGCAGTATTTGTTTTGAACCAGAAAGACCATTCATTATATAGTCTATCTCCCTCACAACCAGAATATATGGGCCTGGGAATCAAGGAGCGCAGGTAGAAGTGGTTTCTCTTCTATTATAGCTAATAACCCACTGACTGTATTTTAGATTTCTGTTTTGGAACCTCTGAACTTTTCTGATTGGAAATTCTAATTCCAAGAGGGGAATGCTTCCTGCAAGGGAAAGAACACTGGTTCTGTTGTATCGGAAGATGACACTGCCAGTTGGCCATTCTGGGCTCTTCATGCCTCCAGACCAACAGGTAAAGAAAGGGTTTACAATGGCCAGAGTGATTTATCTCAATTACCAAAGAGAAATTGGATTGCTACTGCACAAGTTAGCAAAGTGGATTATGTCTGCAACTCAGAGGATTCTCTGGGATACCTCTTTGGCTGCCATGCCCCAAAGTAAAGGTGAATGGAAAACTGCAAAAATCGAGGAAAGGCGGGACTACTGAGGACGCAGACTAGAGATGAAGGACTCGATAATGCTACTGATCTGACCGCTGAACAAATTGTATTCCCTATTTTGTGAACTTGCTCAAAGCTCAAAACTTTGAGGGGCCAATTTCCTTGAAGGGCAGGGAAATCACTACTCTATTTTGACAAAAATCTGATAACATCAGGGGATTAAGAACTTCTCCCCTTCAGTGAGTGTGCCTTTCAAATAATCATTAGGATTTACATCAAAATGGCCATCCTAATGATTCTGGTTTGTCCCTTAAACACAATGAGGCAGCTTTATATCATTGGTAAGTCATGTTATTTGGTGTTTAGATTTAGCATAATAAAGGCTAATAAAATTTAATAGTTCAAATAAAAGATTTTTTTTAACCCGTGAGAACATTCTAAATACATAACAAACATAAGAAATGTAACAACTAGCTTTTTAAGTTTTATAGATCTTTTATTGCTTCAACAGGAGTGGATGCCAGAGTGTTTTTTTTCCCTCCCCAAAGTTATCTATCGAACACACCTTAGTACTAATTTGAGTCACTATTTTTATTCTTTATTGTCGTATTTTCCAAGTTTTGGCATCCAAACTTGGCAAACATCATGGAGATCTGTACACACACATATACATATATACACACATTTAAGTTTAAAGCCTCAGCTTCTGCATTAAAACTTGTGCTCAGGCTCCTGTTAAAAAGAGGTAAAATGGTGAGAAGATAAAATATCAGGGAAAACACATGAATAACTTTCAATCAGTAACTCCCTTGTTAAGCAGCCATTTTAAAGGAAAATCCATCACCTTGCTAAAACTTCCACTAAGGTACAGCTTCAGATATTTAAAAGAAATATAAATAAACAAAAAGCCCCTCACATACCCCAATGTGGTTTAATGACAAGCTAGCTGGGGGTTATATTTTGTTGTCATCATCTCAGGTAACTGTTTATTAAAGAATAGTTAATATTTCAGTGATTAAATATTTAGGTGTTAATTAAAAACAAACTTCAAGCTGCATCATCATTACAGTCTAAGGCAGAATTCTTCAAGTATTTGCCTTTAAATCACTACACATATCTATCACAGTAAAACTGAGGCTTTTAGTTTAAAAAGCATGTAATGTTTGGTAACTGAAGAGTGGATACTATCAGTGTACTCTAGGTCGTTTGATTTTATTTTTCTCTGTAGGAGCTTTCCTCTTTTGTGATAATCCAGACTCAGGTTCCTTATTATTCTGAAGAAATGCAACAGCTTCTGGTAGACAGTAATTTTCTATTTGAGGAGGGGATTCCTATAGAAGGAAAGAAAGAAAACACTTCTGTTTATCTTTTTCATGTTTCAAAATGTTAAGTGATCAGGTAACAGATTCTCTTACTCTACTTTTGACTAGAAAAACTTAGAAGGGAAAATGCATCTTTATTTCTATTTTCTTGCAAGGAAAACTTTTGTCTTTCATGGTGTACAATTCAGCACTTATCTACTGAACAGACCTTTGGGACAAGGTCTCATTTTTTCATCATAAAAATGAGTGTATAGCTCAGGCAGAGGGGCCTGGCACAGATCTTAACAATGGCTTCATCTGTAAAATATGGAGTAAAAACTCTCATCTCAGAATGGTTAACAGCTCTCATTTAAGTGTTAGGTATTATGCTTGGTGCTTTTCATATAATTTTAATTTTTGTAATAAACATATGACATAAGTGCTTTAATTTCCATTTTACAGGTGAAATAACATGACCAATTATATAACCGCAAGTGGCAAAGCCAAAATCATACCTCTCTCTACCTAGCTCCCAAATCCTTGCATTTTCCCCCTTTACAACTAAATTCCAATATAAAAGCATCTTTTATTCCCATTATAAATACAGTAAAGCTTAATTTTCTGGCAATACAGCAGACTGGGCAACCTGAAAATGAAACACTACAAAAAACTGAGTAAATGTCTTTCTGCCCAACCATTCCACAGATAACAACTATAAATTCTGACCAAAATATGTTAAAGGTAACTGGCAATTGGAGAATGAACAAAATCAGGCAAATATTAGAGGAAAGCTGACATTTGGAAGTGAATGGTGTGGAGTGAATTCCCTTTTTTCTTTTCTTTAGGGCTTTTAATCTGAGAACAGGTCTCAGCCCAGTCTGTACCATGCAGGCTAAAACTCTAATAGGAACTCTGCAATCACAATGGCTTGAAGAACCAGAAAATAGGGTCCAAGGCAACCACAGCTACTGGAAATGAGGTGGGAAATCTCAGAAAGGTGAAAAAGAGGAGGAACCTTAAACTTTTTATGTAAAACTGTGCCCCAATCTTTGCTTGATCCCTAAATTATGCATGTGCAGTGAGACTCAAGGTTAAAAGCACTAATGAGATGTGAATTGTCATTCACTATAGCTGTGTTGTTGTTGTTATGTGTCGAGTCAGATCCGATTCATAGTGGCCCCTCCTTGGGTTTCTGAGGCGGTATCACTATGGAAGGAGACTGCCCAACCTTCCTTCTGAGGAGTGGCTGGTGGGTTTGAACCGCCAGCCTTCTGATTAGCAGTCAAATGCCTTAGGCATTATGCTACCAGAGCTCCCATTCACTGTAGCAGGTCACCCAAATAAACTGCCAGCTAAACAAAGACAACAAAACAGTACTCTTTGGAAAATGTAACACAATCTACAGTTTCTCTAACTTATCATTCATAATGTCCAACATACAATTCAAAATTATTCCACATATTAAGAAGCAGAGTATGACCCCTGCTCCAGGAAAGAGATCATAACAATCACCCTGAGTAAAATAAAATACCTAACTATAAACTTAACAAAATAGATTAGGATGTTTATGCTGAAAATTACAAAATGCTTATGAAAGAAATCAAGGTTTATCATCATCATCATTGTTGTCCAAGAAGATCTAAATAAATGGATATGCCATGTTCATGGACTGGAAGATTTGCTAGAATAAAGATGTCAATTTTCCCAAACTGGTCTATAGGTTTAATGCAATTCTGATCAAAATCCCTGTCTTGCAAAATAATAAAACTATAGGTCTTACACTAACTTCAAAAGTCACAGAGAGCTACAGTAATCATAAATGTGTAGGAGAAGTAAAAATCAACAAATAGATTAATGGAACAGAAAAGAGCCCAGAAATAAGACTCACACAGTTAAGAGTCATTTGATTTTTGACAAAGGTGTCAAAGCCTTTGAGGGAAAGGAAAATCTGTTTAACAAATGGTACTGAAATAGCTGGATATCCATTCAGGGGAAAAAAACAGCCCCTACTACACAACATATAGAAAAATGAATTTAAGATGGATTATAGACCAAAACATAAACGATAAAACTATATAAATTAAAAACTTTTGTTCATTAACAGATAGTTAGGAAAATGAATAATGATAAGCCAGACAGAGAAAATATTCCTAAAAATTATCTGACAAAGGACTGCCGGTATCCCAGGTATATAAAGAAATCCTGCAACTAAGTAATAAAAAGACAGATGTTTTAAATGGACAGAGTTAGTACCTAATGGACACAGTAGACAAAAAAATATTGGAAATATAGTGGTGATGAACGTACAATACAGTGAATGTAATTAATGCCATTGAACTATACATGTAAAAATGATTGAAATACACACACACACACACACACACACTTTTCACCAAATAACTTTTAAAATGGGCAAAAAAACTGAATGAACTTCACAAAAGAAATTATATAATGCTTGATAAGCACTATGATAAAATGCTCAGCAGCATCATTAGCGATCAGGGAGGTGCAAACTTAAAACCACGATGAGATTCCACTGGAAACCCCAAATTCAAATCAAACCTAAAATTCAATTCACTGTCAACACCAAATGTTGGCGAGGACCTGAGTAACTGGAATTCATACATTGTTGATAGGATTGTAAAATGGCAGATTATCTTTAGAAAAAAGTCATGAAGTTTGTTTTCATTTTTTGGTCAGTTTCTTAAAAAAACTAAACACTTATCTATTTTAAAACCCAGCTATATTCTGCTATATTTACCAAAGAGAACTGAAAAAGTATGGCTACAAAAAGACCTGCAGAAAAATATTAATAGCAGCTTTATTCATAATAGCCAAAATGGGAAAGAGCCTGGGATCAATCAGCAGAACAGATAATGGAATGCTGGTATATTCACAGAAAGGAATAAACTGCTGACACAAGCGATAACTTGGATTAATCTCAAAAACATTATGCTGAGTTAGAGCCTTACATAAAACAGAGCATAAGCTAATTTACAGTGGGGAAAATAATCAGAACAATGGTCATCTCTACGGGTCAGGAGAGGCATTTATTGAGAAAGGACACAATGAAACTTCCAGAGGCAACTGTCATGTTCTACATTTTGATAGGGTTTGAGTTGCATAGGTGTATGCATTTGTCAGAATTCAATGAATGGTACACTTAAGACCTATGCACTCCATTGTATATAAACTTACATCCGAAGAAAGAGAAGTAAACAAATAGTGGATTCTAGTCAATGACATGCATGCTTGAGTATACTGATCCTTGCAACTTACTTTTTAATTTTTATTGTGATTTGGGTGAAAGCTTACAGATTCATTTTCCATATAGCAGTTCACACACATTGTGTTTCATGACATTGATTGTAATTCCCCACAATGTAACAGCTCTCTTCCCACTTCCTTCCTGTAGTTACCTCTTCCCTGTGTCATTCCTATGCATTCCTGCCCCCCTGCCCCGAGCTGTCTCCCTGTGCAAACATTGCCCTCCTGTTCTTTCTCCCATGATTGATCGTTCTAAGGAGTGTATCTACCTGATGTAAATGTTCACCCAATATGCCTGTCTGCTGTTTTGGCTGGAAGCCACAGGAGTATATTAAATTCCAGACCTGAAGGGTAACTAGGGGCCATGGTCTCAGAGGTCTCACCAAGCTCTATCAGACCAGTAAACCTTGTCCTTCTTTATGATTTTGAGTTTTGTTCCACATTGTTCTCCACTCTATCCAGGATCTCCTGCATTGATCCCTTTGTGAGTGTTTGACGATGGTAGCCAGGCACCATCTAGTTCTTCTGGTCTCATGTCATATAGGCTGAGGATCACATGGTCCACTAGTCCCTTGGACTAATTGTTTCCATGCATCTTTGGTTCTCTTCATCCTTCTTTGCTCTGAATGAGGAGACACCCATTGTTGCATCTAGATGGCTGCTTGCAAGCTTTTAAGTCCCCAGTTGCTATTCATCAAAGTAGAATGTTCTAGAACAATGTTTTTGTGTAGTATGTTATGCCAATTGAGCTTGATGTCCACTGCGACCATGGTCCCGAACCCACAGGTCCAATCACTCACTCACTCCCTCAGGGTGGTTGGTTGTGGCCAAGAAGTTATCGTAACTTTGTCCCCTGTTGGTTCTATTATATATTTGGACATTCTTACAGCACATACAAATATGTATGTAGAAAATATGGATGGAAAGATGGATGTGATAAAGCAAGATTATGAAAATATTATCAATCTATGAGGTATGTATACTATTCCTTGTAAATTTAATTCAATTTAAATTTTTAATAATAAAATATTATAAAAAAAAGAACAGGCAGATTTTAAAAAGAAGCAACTTACAAACTTTTAGAACGAAAAAATATAGTGAATGTAATTTAGGAGTAATTCAAGCTCCTTGCAGAGAATTAGGGACATACATAAAATTTTAAGGAAGTGGGTAAATGACATTAATAATCTTATCAAAAGCAATTACCACTATTGATATTCTGGCATGACACCTCCCAGTATTTTGATTTTTTAAATGTATTTTTCTTTATAAAGTTCACATTGAATATAAAACCAAGGTTTGTGTGTTTGTTTTTGCTTAAGATTATGTATTTTCCTGTGCCTTTAAAAAATATTCATAAACGTGATTTTTAAAGTCTGCACAGTATGTTTTTTTAATGCCCCTATACTATTGGTTGTTGAAGGTTGGGCAATCCTACTTCCGTAGTGATACTGCCTCAGAAACCCAAGGAGGGGTCGCTATGAGTCGGGGCTGACTCGACGGCACATAACAACAACAACAACAACAACATACTATTGGTTATTCAGAATATTTTCCAATTTCATTATTATAACTAACAATATTTCATGGATATAACTACTTTTCCACATTTCAACTTTTTCCTTTTAGGAGCCAAAAAATGGCAATTGTTAGTATCCTGACTTCCTTATTCAACAGTTCTTGATGCTGATGTATGTTTAGCGGGCTTAACATTTATCATCAAGTAAGTTTAAGAATGGTTCATAAGGGTGTACTTGAGGCCT